TAGGGACGGGGCCGAAAATGGCGGGGTTAGAACCGTCTTCACTAGAGCTTTCCGAAAGCGGACCGTTTGGTTTCGGCACCCTCTTCGTTGTGGAGTACGGGCGTGGAGTACAGCAGTCGAGCTTTCGATCCGGGGGGTGTGGTATCTTATGCGACCACTCGGTAACTTTTGTACATTGCTATTCTACGAGCACTGCGCCGAGGGATTCGCCAAGGAAGTATTTTGCCAGCAAGCAAGGTGATTTTCGAGGCGGGCGTGTGCGCAAGCGTGCAAGCATGCGAGCGCGGCGCACGCGGCACGCACCAAGCAGATGCATATATATCGGACGGTCCAAGGGTGCATTCTGTAGGGTACTCACAGACCTATACCGGGGGGAGTTATCCTCTGTATGTACCCTACAGGAGACACAGACCGCTCTGTAGTATCCCCTGTACCCTACAGAATAGTTCTGTGTGTTTGTATCTTCCACCGTACCCTACAGAATAGTTCTGTGCGTTTGTATCATCCCCCATACGATACAGAATAGTTCTGTGTGATTTTGTGATGCCTCCATACCCTACAGAAAACAACATATTCGCCTGATTGAGAGCGTAGCATCTGATTGAGAGCGAGATTGCGCGATACGCTGTAGCCGGACTACCACTGAGAGGTGAAGCTTGCTGTGTAGCTTGAATTGAAGGGCTAGCCCGTAGCTTCAAGCCGCTACCCTGGTCATCCTGTGGGAGTCTCTCGTTGTGGAGCTACAGCGGGGAGCAGAAGCTACAGCAGAGCCCACCGCCCGACGCGATACCGCCCTGAAACAGTTTGAGCAGAAATAGCCAATCTGGGCAAATCTAGCAACTTGTCTAGCTCCTCGCTGCAGCATCCGATGACGATGACACGCATATGCTCGCGAAGCTGCTGATGAGACCTTCAATTTGCACCGCTTCTTGGAATAGCCCGTCCCCTACTTGCCAAGAAATGGCAAGAGGCGTCTGGACCCGAAATTTCAATTTTTTGGCTCTCGCTCTCAATCAGATACTTCGCTCTCAATCAGGCGAATATGTTGTTAGAATAGTTCTGTGACGTGCAGTCACAATACCCTACTGCACAGAAAGTTCTGTATCATCCTCCGTACCCTACAGAAATATTCTGTGCGTTTGTATCATCCCCCATACCCTACAGAACAATTTTGTGTGGTTCTGTGATGCCTCCGTACCCTACAGAATATGTGTACCCGGAACAATTACCCGCAGCAAGGGTGATCTGTGCATTACCCTGTGTGACGTCACCTCCGCGAAGCAAGCGGGAAGGTGATTCTCCACACACACAGACACATGTCTTGCAAGGGTGCGTTTGGTAGGGTACGGGTACTCTCTGTAGGGTACATGGGGTATCACAGAACCTTCCATGATATTCTGTAGGGTACGGGGGCTGTTACAGAGTCACAGAACTATTCTGTAGGGTACGGAGGCATCACAGAATCACACAGAAATATTCTGTAGGGTACGGGGGGTGATACAAATGCACAGAATATTTCTGAAGGGTACGGAGGATGATACAGAACGTTCTGTGCAGATAGGGTATCATTGTGACTAGACGTGACAAAACTATTCTGTAGGGTACAGGGGGTGTGACAGAACTCTGTGCGTACAGAGTACCCCCGGTACATACCCGATACATGACGAGTTTGACGACGTACGTGTGTGAGACGAAGGTAAAGGCAGAGTCAAGGGCGCTATAACGCACAACACAATGGACCTCTGCATCAAAATCAAAACCATACCCGCAAGGACACAGCTACCCCCCGCCCGGAGCAAAATCCTTCCCATCCCACTCCGATTCAATCTACGTTGACTGCCACGACGTACTTACGTAGGCCAAGAAACATAGACTACTCATCCAACGCTCGCGACCTTCACAGGTCGACGTCCCCGATTTCGGTGTTTTTAATCACGTCGAAGGCGGCCTCAGCGGCCGCCAGGTCAGCATCCCCCCCGTTGAACCGTGGCGGCAGACATGTGTGAATATCCTTCGCGGCAATCATGGGAATGTCCTTGAACCCGGGGATGTGCTCGAAGTTGGCGTGGAGGAACATCACCATCTCTACCCAGTAGGTGTCCATGCGGCTCCTGTTGCGTGTGAGGAGATTGGCGCAGCCACTGAAGTCGCGCTCTACCTGCGCGGCACCCGCCTGGTTCCCGAATACTTGCTGCGCTACCGGTGCCAGGTACGGGAAAGTCTTGCGACCTGTTTGCCGCCACCAAGGCAGAATTTCACGGGTGTCCAACTGCACAACAGCAGCGGCGCAGGCGGAAGGAAGGGTGGGAGGGGTTGAAAAGGAAAAAATGAAGATAAGATAAAGATACGAGTAATAACCGCGCCACCAGGAAGAACGACGTACTTACTGCAGCTCGCTTGTACCCCTACGTTGACTTGCGACCGTGGCCAGCTCGGGGCCCTTCTCGCCGTTCCGTTCGATGCTCGATTAAAATAATGTCTGGGACCCAATTCAAACTCACCTCTTCTGCCGTGATGTACAGCGAGTGATAGCGCTCGATTTCCTGGGACACGTGCTGCATGAGCACGTTCATCTCGCTGTCGCCGTCACTTTCGTCTGCAGATTCGTGGCGGGCCCTGTTGCGCGCAGGGAAGCAAACCTAGGCTTGGTTGCCCCGCTCGGCGAGCAGAAGCGCTTCAGAGGCGGTTGGCCGTCTTGTCCGGTCGCAGCTTCCGAATGTTTCTTTCGCGCAGCACCCGACGCCCTTTACCTGATGTCCGCCCAGGAAGCGTCCAGTTACTCTGCACGTCGTCGTCGAGGGTAGGAGCCAAGTGAGCTTTGCCTTCGCCAAGGTGCT